CAGCAGACATCAGTTCTTGGTTTTGTGCCATTGGTGTCAAGCCAATCTCCTCTCCCTCATTTAATTAGCGATGGACTTACTTACTCTTCCAGGCTCAGTTCAAATCCTTCTACCACCTTGCTTTTCCTCATCCCTACAAACAGAAGGGTCTCCTTTCCTTTTTTTTCTGCGGCATCTGTCACTTGTGCCTCTAATGTGACCCTCTTGCTCTTTCGCCTCATCTTTGGGCACCTTAACTCCACTGGGGCTTCTCTTCCTTACTAGTTATGGGAGCAGAATTATTAAGATCCTGCTCCCCAGAGCCCAGCATAGGTACTGACTAATAAGGAACTGCCCAAATAAGGAACGGGGCAAATGTCTATTGATTGAAAGCAAGATGCAAAACCTAAAACTGATTGCCTTCAGGATCTATTAAAGTTATCCCATAAATTCAGCAAGGATGAATTGGTACATTTTAGTTAAGAAAACAGATTTTCATTCCAAAATAATCTTTTTAACTGCACTTAGAAAATCCATTTGACAAAAGAAATGAGTGAGTCAAACTGTCTTTCTGGTAAACTCACTTTCATACAGTCAGTCTGAATTTATCGTTGTTCCACATATAGCAAAGGAATACACCCCAGGAAGTTCAAGTGCTCTGAGTCTTCTGCTCCAGGAGTGAGTTTTGAACCAAAGCAAAGGCTTACCCCTAAATTCAGATTATGCTCTGAAAGCCAAGCAATGAGGGCTCCATTTGCTTTAGTGAAAAGACCCAACAGATATATCTTGCTTGCTAGTATTACTATGTAGATCTAGGAACAGAAAATGAGCTCTAAGGCTAAACTATGAACAATTTAAAACTGGAAAGCAACATGAAGCATGTGCGCCAAGAACACTAGCTTACATGTGAAACCTCGAAAATCCGCCCTTTTATTCAGCACTATTCCAGTCCCCTCTTTCATTTGCAGATTTGGAGTCCTTCGATAATACAAGTTTATTTGAAAAAGCGCCAGATTTAAAGAGTTAGTTGACGTACTTCAAAGAAGCAGGCTACCACCAACTCAATGATCCAACCTCCAGCTCCTTCCTCCTCTTACCTTGGCACCCAGTCTTTGGTTGACATTTGGAAAGTTCATCTTGCCTCACAGGAGCCAGTCCTATTTGAATTGGAACACTGACTGTAAATAGTAAAGAAACTGCAGTCTTCAAGCATTTTGTTATTATCCACATCCTTGATCACTCATATTTAAAATTCCTTCCTCCCATCTTCTATTGGGAGAAAGAAAACTCTCTGCAATGTAATGAAGCATGGTTTTATTAGAATTTTTGAGCAAAATGTGCAAGGCGGTACGGACAGTAGGGATAAAGTAAAAGGCCATAATCTGAGACTGACTGCACAACCAAGTACACACATAAAGCTCAGAAAAGCATCCACATAAGAGCATGCTCCTGCATCAGTGGTGGCACCCAAGATAGTCAACGGAAATGTTTTTAGCTCTTCGTAACATAATGCTAAACTCAAAATGGCTTAAAAAGTAGTGGCTTATTACTTAATATAATAAGGTTGGAGTTGGTTCATTTAGCAGTTAAACATGAGAGACCTAGGTTCTACTCATTTTTTATTCAAAATTTTTTATTTTTATTCAACATTCATTCAGTTGACTTTTGTCCTCAGGCTTGTACTCTGCAGGGCTGTAAAATTTCTGCAGCAGTTCCATCATCAACACTTGGGAAACACTACCTTTGAAGTTGCCACAAGAGCGTAAGATGCATTCCCCTTTTAAGAGGGCTTCTCCCAGAGGCCCCCAACTGACAGCTCATTGACTAGAACTGTGCTGTGTCACATGTCAATCCTAAATCAATGACCTAGCCTGGAGAAGGAAATTACCATTACCAATGTAGACCAATTATGCATCCCGAGACTCACGATACTCGATAACATTGGGATACTTTTTAGGAGGGAAGATGGTGGAAGGGCAGTGGTTGGTTGGTACAGTGTCTTTCATAAGGTTGCATCCTTTGAGATTAGGAATACTGCCTGAAATGATTATATGTTCATTTCTGGTCATGGAATCATAGTAAGGGTTTTGAGTAGGGAAAATAACATGAACAGATATATAAAATTAAGTTGTAAGGTATTTTTTTGGGGGGTCATTTTATTCTGCAAGTATAATTTTTGTTTCTCAACATTTACAAGTGTTGAACATATTCACTTACTGAACCCCCGTGTTCCAAGAGTGAGGATACAATACTGAAGAAGACGGCTGGGGTTCTCTCCATCAGAGTGACTTAAATTCTAGTGGTGTCCCCAAACTCAGAGGTGAAATAATTCACAACTACCCATATGCCACCTGCTTTCTACAACTACCTTGTCTAACAAGCACTGAGGTGAAGGAGCAATTCATTCACAAAAAAGCAAAGAACTGATTCTTACTACTCCACCCTGTTCCTCTGTTATGTTTTAATATGTCTATTTACAAAACAGGACTAAGAACTGCTTCAGAGAGCCATGCACAGGATAAGATTATCTTTTATTAGAGATCTTATATTACATATTCCCCAAAGGATATAAAATCTTCCACGAGAAAATATCAAAACCTGTTGATTCCAAGGTGAGCAAAATAATCAAAATGAAAGCAAATATTTTCTTGTAGGCAAAGGAATGTGAGAACATTTCTTCACAAATACAACAAAGACATAGGAAGATAATTACAATGTTTTACAACATATTTTACATTTTACTTTGATCAGTTCTTATAGAAAACAAGGATGCTGAGTTATCCAACAATGCACTTATAACCCCAAATTAAAATTTCACAACTGAAAATGGGAGGGGGAAAGCAGTGAACTTATTGCGTGGTCAGCTGAACATCTGTGATAATCGATGTAATAAAACCTAACCAAACAAATATGCCACTGAGACCACAACTGAAGCGTACGGTTTCTTGTGAAACACTAAATTATTTAGTCAGCTCTTGACCACAACCCAAAGCAAAAACATCCTCTCTTCATTTCCCTGATGATGTCTTCTAAAAGTAACTATAAAAAGCAGAAACTTGCTGGTTAAGAAGAATTTCTGCTTCACCTGTGAATAGCTGGTGGCAACAACACACACTGAATAAAATGGCAATGAACATGAGACAGATCCATCCTGAACACCAGAAGTGGCAAAACCACTGTTATTGCATCGGATTTTTATTTCATCTGATCAGAATTTCCAGAGTGATTAAGCACAGACACTTAACCACAGAACACAGTGAGCTTCCTTCCATAGGAAGGTGCACATTTAAGATACAACGGGAAAACTGCTCTTATTCCTGGGATTTGCTTCTGGCAATTCTAACATCTGTAGATGTCAAAAAAAAAGGAAGTGGTTGTTGCTATTTTTTCAGATGTTTATTTTCCCTAAAATGAGGAGGGATGCTAACATTACACGTTTATTGCATGAAATTACTCCCTTGTAATATCTTTATCAACACTGGTATTGTTTCCTTAATTATTAAAGGCGAAGCAGTTTATGAATTTAACATAACAGTAATCTTAGGAGCTGCATCTTGAGTGAAAATTCAGACGATAATCAGACTACATGGTGAAACAGGAATGGTTTGAACTAACTTCTCTATAGAGACGTTGAAATGACGAGAGGTAAATGGAGATTAAAAGTCAGATAATATTAGATCTGTTAGATTAACACAACAAAGAGAATTTCTAAAACTGTACATATCTAAAGGAGTCTTTCTATGCTGAAATGGAATATTCTTAATGTTGCTATTATTTTAATATTAAGGAAACAATGATCCCAAACAAATTTTATTATACAAATTGTAATGGCACATGAGCTTAGAACTACATTTTGAGGTTAGCACATACAAAAGTTTGGAATTGACTGAACAAACATATTCTTTAATAAGATACATCATGATGAGCTGCTTAAGTACATTTCAAAACAGAGTCTATTTTAAAGCATTCTCTCTCATATGGTTAACTACTGTGAAATGGAAACAGTATCTGGATTTTGCAAGTTACAAAATCCTTGTTTCAAGTTGCAGTTTCCTTGGCAGCAGCATTTTTTAATTAACAATATTTTTCTTCCTTGTTTTGTTTTCTGACATCTCAATACATTCAAATAGTCAAAATGTTTAGACTAACACCATCATAAATTTAATGAAACAGATCAGAATGTGGCCAGCATGATCAGGCAAAAATTACATAATTTATGTGTCATAGAAAGTACCCATCCCCTGCCCTAGCCTCCCAATATCCCCCCTTTCCCAAACCGTAATATGGACACCAAAAGATTTAACAAGACTTATAAAAAAATAAGGCACATTCATTTTGATATGGTAATTTTAAAATAGAAAACCCCATCTCAGAACACCTGTATTCAAATTAGCTGTGTAAAAAGACACCTTGTGGTACCTAAAATAGGTTTAGGGTACCTATGGAATTGCTTCTTCTATTTTAGTGACCATGGAATAAATTGCACCTATCCCACATTGTCAAGTAATGAAAATATTTTCTACTGTTGCATGATTCAAAATCAGATATTTCTGGAGATACAAAGGGGAGGGAAGGTAGGGTCAAGAGTTTCATTAGGAACAGGTATGAAAATCGACCATGTTTACCATAAGAGTTGAGGGATTGCACTTTTCTACATACTTCAATACACAAATTTTTTCTAACTTGTATCAATGATTGCAACCCTTTTGGCTTTCAGCTATTACCCACTGACTTTTTATTCCATTTGGCTAAATGAATATTTTTATAAAACTAACAAAGGATCAGCAATACCTGTAAGAATCTCTTCACAACCCCCAACACAAAATAATGAGTTAGCATATAACCTGAGATACAGTCTGTTGAGAGGTTGTCTTTAAGCGTTTCTTCACATGTTGCATCAACTCACACTGATAATGGTAGTTTGTGAGACAAACTTAAAAAAAAGAAAAGAAAAAAAAAACCTGGTTGATAGCATGGCTTTTTTATTTTTTTTTTCCTTTTCTTTTCTTACTGTACTGGTTAAAAAAAAAAAAAAATCACAGAATTCATGTTCTCACAGTAACCAGAAGCTAAAATAATGTGCTTCCTTATTGCACATTAAACCAAGAAAGGTGTAAAAGCCAATGCTTCTCACTTCGAATTCAGAAGTCAGGTTTACTTCAACCGGATTCGGAATGTGCTGATTTCCATGGGACTCAAATTGATCTCGCTTATATTTTGGACGTCTGGAGGCGAATGCATCAAGGATAATGATGAAGGTGTGAGACTTTCAACACTAAACTTATTAAAAAGTTTCTGTACCGATATCTAAAAAGTAAATAACAAATATTTGCATATTTACATAAATCCTGAAAAAGATTAGAAGCACATCTATATATTCAGTAACAAATAGTATAGGAGGGAGTATGTATATATGGTGAAGTTCCCTTTTAAGGAAAAATGGAGGGGACAGTTAAAACATGCATAGATATGTTTGAACATACAGACTATCCCTGGAGGGAAACAAAAAAGTGGTAATGACCATGGGCAATCTGTTCTGCATTCCTTTCTGTATTGCTAAAGTACAATATATTTACAGGTGAAGTACCAAGGCAAAACCCCACTGTACAATGAACAGACACTTAAACAATGGACAGGAATGTAAAATAGGTCATAACAGGAGGGTAACAGTTGGAGGAGTAGGATAAATGAAGAGAGTATAAGGGTGAATATGGTTGATATATTTTCTATACATGTATGAATATGGAACATCAAAACCTGTCAATATCATTTTAAGAAGGTGGTAGGGGAAGAGGGAGAATGATGGAGGAATGAACCAAACCATGGTACATTGTACGCATACATGGAAATGCCACGGAAAACCCCCTGTACAACTAATATATACAAATAAAAATGTTCAAAGAAAAAGAAATTTTTTCTCACACATGAAAAGAAAGTACATCTATGGGACAAGTCCCCATGCTTCCTGAGGACTTAAAAATCCTTAGATTCTTTCACTTATTACTTATCCCTAATAATGGTGGCTATCCATCATTTTTAATATTCCAACAGAATCAAAAGATAAGACAAAGGGCCATTACAACAAAAGCTCATGATGTTAAGAGTCCCACTCTATAGGTGGGAAATACATTCTTCACCCCTGCCAAGTTATCCTACCCAATATGTCTCTTTGGATCATATGACCCATGTCTCTCCTTACTGAAGACTGAATGCCTTAACGTCAGAATGCTCACAGTCAAGTACACTGAGTTCATCAATGATAAGGCAGAATGCAAATATAATGGAAAAAATGTCAGTGCTTTTTGGCTCCAGTGCTGTGGAAAGTGGGATAAAAGCAATTGAGGAAGCTAATCTATCCAAGTAGATTTAGGTCCTCCTCTGACAGATTATCTCTTCTTTTCAGACCTTATACATATGCAGATCTACAGAATCACTTGAGTCTGGCCTTTGTTGTGCCTTGGAGTTTGAGCAGAAAGCTGGGTCTGCTAAGCTCCCTGAGTGGGCAGACCTGTCTATATGCAGGAACTAGCCTGTCTGCCTTCTCTAGTCATACCAAGCTCAGAGACAGAGGCAGGAGATGGGAGGTTCCTTGTCTTCCAAGGAGAGGGTGATGAAACTGCCAATAAGACCAACTTGAAGAAAAATCAAACAGGCAGCCAGCCAGCAGCTTTCAGACTAAAGATCTGTTTGGCCTGCACAGTGTTGACTCATATGCAAATCTGGATTTATCAGAAGACCTAAATATACATTTACTTCCCAAAAGGAATCAGCGGTGTGGAGCTCTGTACAGCTGCCTCTGTGGTCAATCATTTCATTGTTTCAACGCTTTTGTCGTCACTTCCTTAATGCTCTGCCAGTCAAGCTTCAGCTACCATAAAACTTGCCCAGGCCTCTACAGAAACTGGGTTTGGTTAAGTGAACATATGTGGTCCAGAGGAGGAAGAAATGAAGAAATTAAGATAACTTCCAGGCTGAGGGAAATGAGTGAGTGAAAAAGCAAAGATTACCTTACTGCCAGGATTCTACTGAAAGTGAGGATTTTAAAACACACTAACTCTGTAAGCAAAACTTACCTTTCCCTGAGTAGTAGAACAGAGCAGCCCCGTGCCTCTGCTAGAGAACTGGCAGTCAAAGCCTTTCCTGTGGAGGATCAAGGCTGCCTCATCAGAAAATCCACTGCCTACCTGCAAATGAGCACACAGATATATCACAGAAGCATTAAAGCAAGTATATAGGACCACATGCACCAATGTCTTGATGCCAGCATCCCAAGACCACATCTAGTGGTTCCACATTTACTGTACCCATCCATCTATCACAACCTTCCCCTGAAGTCCCACTAAGCCAGGTGGGATTATGTGCTAAAGTTACTGGTTAATAACATCACACCTTGGTTTTTCCCCATAGGTTTCTTTTTGTCTACACATTACATACTGCTGCATCAATGTGTCTTCAAATAAGGTATTTCATTTTTCTTTTATTTTTTTATGTACACATATGTTAAATAAAATGCATCCAAATTCAGTCCTTTTCTGGTCATTGAATAATATGCCATGTATCATAAAACTGAAATATGCTTCTTCATGAAATACTAATTTTGGTAATTGCATTAACATTCTTAATCTTTAATGTATTGGTTCATTATTTTTATACCAGACATTTAAATTGAATTAGTTATGCTTATCACTTGCAAGTCCAGCCTACATTTATTAACTTGACGTTATCATTTAAATTCCCATTACAGAAACTACTCTTCTTGGGCAGACAGAAAGAAAAATACCAAACATAACCAGTCAGTTACTGGGATAAGTATATACTTTCTTGCAGTAAAATTCCTTGCATCCATTTAAATAATGATGTCATGAATAGTTCAAATTTTTGAATTAGAATTATCTTAATAAACATTACATTTCCTAAAGTAGAAGTATGTTTATGATAATAAGCAAACAAATTAAAATCCTTGGAAATGTTAAGACATGTACAGCTATTTAAAGGAGAGAAGTCACACACTGCTACAGTGATAACCACTGATCTCTTTCTTTCTCCCTTCTCTGGTCAGATATGAACACACCTGAATTCCTGACCAGCCACACTAGGGGCCAAGATTTTCTTGTTTTTTTTTTTTTTTTTTTGCTGTACTAGGGTTTAAGCTCAAAGCCTACACCTTGAGCCACTCTACCAGCCCTTTTTAGTGATGGGTTTTTTCAAGATAGGGTCTCACGGAATTATTTTCTCAGCTGGCTTCAAGGTGATCCTCCTGATCTCTGCATCCTGAGTAGCTAGGATTACAGGAGTGAGCCACCGGCTCCCAGCAGTAGGACCAAGATTTTTTGATATACTTCAGAGACTTCTTTTCTGAACAGCTGCCAGCACCCCCACCCCTGATTTCATTTTAATTTGCCTGAACAGTCTAAAACCTATCCTCACTTCAGATTCCTGGCTGGAATGACCTATGTTATAGTGTTTCACAGTAGCATTTTGCAGTGATATTGTTAAGATTTTGTTTGAAGGGAAAGAAAAATGTCATTTAAGGAATTGAGTCATCACATGAAACACACAGCAAGCTTGAATCATATGATAAAATTTCTAATGACATTTCAACAAATTTCACCCCTCCCACACACAGAACTTAAAAGCAGCACGTAAGCAAAACCTGCGTTTATTATATGAGATCTGCAGAACCATAACAAACAGAAGTTAACCATGTGCCAACAGAGGCCTGGGAATGGTCATTTATTCTTTCTAAGTATCAGTTTCCTTATCTGTAATGCTTGTCTACTTCCTGTAAGAAATCACTATGTGGATTAATCTAATGAAAACACTATACACCGTGGCCTTATAAAGAAAGCATGGTGGTGGAGAAACCACAGAAATCAGTGGATCAGAGCTTGGGCTGGGAGTCACAGAGAGCTCCAGTCCCATACTCTGCAATTTAGCAGCTGCTGATTCCAGCAAAACCTGGTTTTCCTTCTCCGTGAAACGGAGATGAAATAAGATGAAATAGCACAGAAAGGATGTGTTTCATGTTTGGCATATAGGATGTCCTTAGTATGATAGCTATTAGCATTTCTATCAAAGTGATCTATCAAATAAATATAGGTGATAATTTTCTAAATGTTACAAATTAAACATTTTTTGTTCTTTTTAGTAGTGTTGAGGTTTGAACTTAGGATCTCATAGTTGCTAGACAATTCTATTACTTGAGCTATGATTCCAGTCCTTTGGACTTTGTTATTTTTTGGATAGGGTCTCACTTTTTTGCCTGGGACTAGTCTTGGATAGTAATCCTACCTATGCCTTCCATGTAGCTGAATTACAGCTGTGATCACCATGACCATCTTATTGGCTGAGATGGGGTCTTACTATCTTTAGAACTTTATTTTGCCTTGAAAGTCCTAAAATCATGATCTTCCTAATCTCCACCTACCAAGTAGCTGGGTTATTTGAATTCATATTCATAAATTTCTTTACTGACATAATAACTTTGTAACTAAAGAAATCAAGGAAATCCTAAATTATGTCTACAGTTATATATCTAAACCATAACAAAGTTCTTGTGTAGATGGTGACCTCTTAATATAGACTCTTTAAGAAGCAGTTACGACTATTAACCTGAGGCATTTGGCCATTTTAATTCACTGAACCATCCTTAAAAGCCACCTGATAGCAAACATTGTCAAAATTTCCAAGAACACATTTGTTCCTGGAATAATGAGTTCTTATGGCCTTTAGGACCTGAACTGGACAAAAAAAAGTGGGGAGTCAGACATTTTTTGGAATTCTACCATAGAATTCCTCCAGAGATTTAAACCAACAATGCAGAAGTAGACATAAAATCATACAAGTTAATTTTCATTGACAGAAAGAGTTATACTTTCTCTACAAACTAAAATTGTATCACATTTGTGAGGACTGACTGAAATAGCAATCATCTTGTCCAAGTTGTTAAGAATCAAATATTCATGAAGGTACCAGTTTTCAAGCAAAAATACCTGAGGCAAAGCAGCAGTTTTTCGGTTTCAAAGACTGTCTAGACATTTTATTTCCAAGAAAACTGTTTTTCAAAATAGGGAAACTGTGAATTTTACTTGAATATGCATGCAAGAAAACAGATACCTTTAAGCAGTCACACTGTATGCTCTTGGAGAGTAAAACAATGTTCAAAGAAGTGATTTTTATATTTACTAGCACAGCAGTAATATCTGAACACCAGAAAAGGAGGGGACACAGTGTCAAGCACTATGCTGGGTAAGGTAACTCTTTGTAAAGCAGGTGAGGTCACATTTGAGATTGATCACTGGAGTAAGGTTGGGGTGTTCAACAGTCACTGGAAAAATCCATTACAAAATTCATTCCTCTGGGTAAAACCAACACCCAGATCATAGATGAAGCTGGGCCTGTAAGGTTATTCCCACAACTGGATGGAGTGTGGAAAAAGATGGAATTGGTTTGCAGAATGAAGTCACCAGATAAAGCTAGGCTCAGAGAAAGCTGGAAAAAAGCAAGTTTTGGTTTCACTATGAACCAGTTTTGCAACTTTGAATAAATCACTAATTTCTATAAATTCAGTAACTAGGTTAGACTTCTAAAGAGTCCCTCTGCAGTGACAATACTGTAATTGCTATTGTGTGTTGGGCCCTGTGCAGGATGCTCTTTACCAATTAGCTCATTTTATTTCACAACAACATTTAAGACAGTGAAGGTGCTTTATAAGTTTGTATAAGTATGTTAAAGGTACAGAAAGATCTCTACCACAAAGTATTATCTCTTATAGCCAAGTAGCAATGATCACTCATGGCCCTGCTTAGCTCTTCATGACCTTTTCCCTTCAATGGTTAGTACATCCCTCTATGAACTGAGTAGAGTGAAAGACAATCAGGGTAGTCTTCAACATTTTCAGCACTGTCTCCTTAGGTAGCACAGGCTCTGAGCAGGACCTAGTGTTGGACTCACTTATGGATTTAATATTGTCTATAGGTCAGTTAGTCTCATCTTTCATGAGAGGGGATAAAAATACTGCCTACCTTACTGCTGTCTGGGAGTTTTTAAGTAATTTTATGTAAGGTACCTAGTATGATGCCTGGCCCACAGGCAGTTTTAGGTATGTGGCTTAAAGTCTATAGGAATTTTATTAATAAAATATGTCAAGAATATGTCAGTGATGTTAGGATACACTTTGACAATAAAAGTCAACCTTCTTTAATTAAAAAACAACATTCTTACTTCATTGTTACTAATAGGCATGACTCAGGACTGAAGGAACACAGGTCAGGAGTTTTACCTGCTGAATACTCACAGGACTTGCCTTGTGTCCTGTTTAAGTGCCTTGCAAACACTACCTCTAATCCTGAGAACATTTCTAAGTGGGGTATTACACCATCCCCATGTTACCAATCAGGAAATTGGGACTCTAAAGAGTTAAGTGACTTGCTCTAAGTCACAGGGTTTAACAAGTAGAAGAGTCACCTTCAAATCCAGATGAACCAACTTCAAACTCTGCTTTTAACAGCTTCATTCTCCTGTCTGTGGTCCCACTCTGGACTGCTGCTCATGGATACCATACCAGGAAGGAAACACGGGGACTCTTTTTGATGTAATATAAGAAGGTACTTAAACCAAAACATTTCTAAAAAGGAACCTTCTGATATAAGGCTGGAAAAAAGGGAGTACTTGGTCAATGATTCCAGTGGAGCTAAGCATGACATCAAAATACCTATCAATTCAGAAAGCAAGATTTGGAGATTATAATTTCTACCTATCTACCTCCTCCCCACCCATCTTCTCATATCATTTCAAACAGGATTAAAGCCATTCTTAAAGTTATGTACGCATATGATTGTGTCTTCTAAGGAAAAGAAAAGGCGCTGTTCCTCTCTTACTCCAAACAAACAAAAAAAAAAAACCCTTGATTTTCTTAATAATGTGAGGTTCACAGATGGGTAACTATTTGTAACTTCCAAGTAAACACTGTATGTAAACCCACCATTTTTCTGGAGAAGTAAGGGGCCTTTACCCTAGTGTGACCCTCCACCCCACAGGATTTTGAAGGTATGTGTTGTAGAGTAAGGCATGGTTAAATATATGGTAGGAAAGTTTTTCCAACTTGCTCATTTTCTTTGAAAATGCCTAACAACATTCATCTTTAGTGCATTCTGTCAGCTGGAAAGGTTAGAAAATTGTACACTTCATTGTAAGTCCTGAGACAGGAAATAAGCAGTAGGAATTCATTTTTCAGGGCCCTCATTAAAATGTCCAATAATAGCTCTCCTGTTTTGATCAACAAGATAAGATGACAGAAAGAAAGGGAAGGTGAATGGCTGTTCTTAGATATGCACAAAAAAAGGAAAAACATCCCCCTCACAATTTTCACCCTTCCAGAAGCTGGGGAGATGAATAAAGCACCAATCAATTCTTACAAGAAAGGCAAAACAAAGTAAAAATCTTTAACTGCCATTTACAAGAAAAGAAGGGGTGGCATAAACAACTGGAGAGAGAAAATCTTATTTGAAAAGTGGTGCTGATGTTGAAATGATTGGTTAACTTATTTGTGAGAAAACAGTTAACCACAAATCAAAATAAGTCTCACAGATTTTAAAATGTTATATACATGTAAATTAAATGAAAATGTTAGAATATAAAAGCAGTGGAAGTAATCTGAAGAAGAAAAATTGAGCCACATATCACTTTTCAAAATATGAAGTCGAATGGTTCCATGCAGCCACCTGAACGCTTACTCAGGTTCCTCTGCGTCCCTTCTATTCTAGGCTGAACCTCCAGCACCAGCCTTCAGAACCCCAACTCATGATCTGTCTTCCATGGGATTCTCTCAGCATCTTCTCTGCCAAGATATCCTTCTCCTTAAATAATTACCCTTTACTGATGAGGTGGCCTTCCTACTTAAGTGTACTTGGTGGTGCTTCTGTCCCCCAGTTTCAAACCTTTACAGAGACTTCTTTGTAGTAGCTGAAGTGCTTGACAGAGTAAGAAAAGAAAGTGATTGAGAGAAGACAGCTGAGAAGAGAAGACAACAGATACACAGGATGAGGAGACCAGCAGTCAAATTCCAAGACAGTGGCTAGAATGAGCTAGGCAGGTCATACAGTGTGCTATAGGCAGGGCTTTACAGATGTCTGTTCCTCTCCTCACCTGATTACAAATACATAGCACAGGATCACTTTCCAAAAACAGATACAAAGCACAAAAACAAGATATGCTTCTTTAAAAACATAAAACTTACCTACTATATAAGACAATTCATGAGAAACTGGACTTTAACAGCAGATTTAATAACTCTAAAAAGTCAAATACCATCCTCTGAGTGAACATACAGCACCCAGATTAGAAGACTTGCTGGGTGGTTTTGTTTTAATCATTTCACCTCTAACCCTTAATGGAGATAACTCACAATTCATGGAATCAAAAGGAATAATAAAAAACTACTAATAACATTTTGAGGTTTTCCTCCTCAAACCTACAGAATCAGAATCTCAGAGGTAAGTATACTTGTCAAAGTCTCCATTTTTAGTTCCACTGATTGTTGGAACTGCAGAATCACCTCACTAGGTTATCACACTTCCAGCCTGTTACTGGCCTCTCTCACTCTTCCTTTAACCCATAGCCCTTTTACCCAAGAGAAGTCAGGAAGACCAAATGAGGTTTAGAATTGAGGTACCTTCAGATAGCAGCCTGCAGGCTGAGCAAACAGGGGGAGACTCTATCACTGATGGCAGGGACCAAGCCTGAAGAGACAGGTGCCCTTCTCATGCCAAGGCAGTCCTCAGACATATCAGTCATGAAAACACCATGGTGGTTAGGAAAATACTAAATTAGAAACAGGCCAATGCAGACCTGTGGTCTTGGCTGCAATGTCAACAGTACTTCAAGAGGAAAAAGGAGTTGGAATCTCCAAGTGAATAAACATTATTGTATACCAAAAACTACCAATACACAAAACCAGGAACTTGATTTAGAATATTTAGGTCTAGCTTCTGAAATTATTGAGGAATTTTTGTCTTTCTTTTAACATAAACAGGAGCCAATAATCTAATCAGCTTCATTGATTGTCATTGTTTTCTCAAAGGTTAGTGAAAAGAGCAACTCTTTACAAAGAAGTTGCTTTAAATGACCAATGATATCCTTCCTTGGATTACAAGTGGGCTTTTAGCAAATGTTTCAAATAGGTGCTAAGTGTCAAAAGCTAACTTAGGAACTGGCACCAAGTGATGTGATAATGTAAAACAGCCCCAAATATTTAGTTCTGATATGTGCCAGCATGGTACTGATAGCCATTAACATTTCAGCCTTTATTCTTCCTGGTTAAATCTTCATGGTGTTAAACTGCTCTCTACTCTTCCCTCTGCTAAAATCTCAATTCGTACTCAAGTTGGCATATACTGTATGTATCATCAGGACAATGACTGGTATTTACAATGTGTCTCTGTCTTCAAAGGACTTTCACAGCATCCTTTTGTCTGCTTTCACAACAGGTCTGACACAGGGATACTTGACACAGTTCCTCACAAACAGTGGCTAAGCCTGTAGTAGTGAAAGTGGCTCATCTGTCAACCTGTGCAAAGGTGAAAGGACCAACAGGAAGCCAGGTGGATGCAGTGATTGGAGTCCAGACAAAAAATGGCCTGATGTTCAAGGGTGTGAACCAATTTGGTAGGCAATGGAATTATTAATCTGAGAAGTAATGAGGCCAAGAAGTCAAGGGTTTTTGCCTGTGTTGTTCACAGCTGTATCTGTAGTGCCTATGGCAGAAACTACTACACAGCAGGCATAAAATAAACCTGCAAGTTCATTCACATGACAAAACAAAGTGTGTGTGCATGTGTACCCAGCCACTTTGGTGATCACATGTATTCATTATAAGTCATATATAATTTCCTGAACACCCAAGCATAAGTTCCTTACCTTGGACACAAAGTCTATAAATCCCTAAATGTCCAAACTGTAGACACTGTCCTTACTTTAGTTTGTGTTAGCTCTTTATTCTTAAATATTTATCTTCTCTAATGTTGAACATTTCCTCTTATTACCCAGCAGTCATTTACTATATTTCCCATAGAATCCATACCACTTACTACATCCAGGTAATCGACTGTCTGTTCACAACATCAGAACTGCTCTCTAACACATAGGGATGTCAAATGCTTAATCCATATTCTTTCTGAATGAAATCTTTCTCACTTTGAAAATGGGCATATAAAATATACACTAAAGCAGTCTAGCAATTAAATTTCATACCTAATAAAACCTACCCAGGCTCTTTCTCCAACATTTCTCTCAAACAGTTGGTTTCTCAATACAAAAGTTTAAGATATAATGATTTGGAAGAGGAAGAAATGAAAATACAAAGCTTCTGCTACAGAAGTAAATAAGAACTATACTTTGCAATTCTCTAACTCCTGAGGCACACTGGCTAACATGGAGAAATGAGTGAGAAAAGCCACTAGAGCTTCAGTCTGGTTCTGCCACCTAATTATGTGATCCAAGGCTCCAAGGCCTGTACCAGCTTCTTTATCCATAGAAAGATGATATTATCCCTGATCTGATCCCCACATAGAACTTTTCTGAAAGGCAAATAAATTAGTGCTGGGATATGCTTTAAACTACAGAGCAACTGCAAATGAAAGCCATAATGACTGTGGATAAAAAGGGAAACCTTCGTAATCATCTGCAAAGCACAGTAATGCATACAGTATTTTCCTCCCCTCTCTGTACCCCTTAAACCAAGAGTTTTGTAAGAATTTTTTAGTGATATATTTTGGAATATACCTTTGACTGTATTGTCCGCATATTGACCAGATGGATGTCACAAGGCAAAGATGACATTAACAGTGAGAATTCACTCAGCAGCTCAAGGGTGGCTGAGGAGAACTTTTCGTTTATTGTCAGTGGAAACACTGGATGATTCAGGAAGGAAGAGGTTACGTGGCCGAGGAGGGAAGGGTAACTCACCGGGTTCTTTTCTTCTTCCTATCAAGAAAAACCAAAAAACCTTAGAAGTTTTATATTTGCAGTTCCCATAAAATTAATTGAGTTAGCTACTAAAGTTTACCTTACATTAAAAAATATATTGGCACTAGGTGAAGCATGGTGGCTCATGCCTATCATCCTAGTTACTCCAGAGGCAGAGATCAAGAGGATTGCAATTTCAAGGCCAGCTTGCCTGGGCAAAAAGTTTACAAGACCCTATCTCAATGACTAAAAGCTGGGCAGAGTGGCATGCCACCCTAGCATGTCACTTGTCATCTCAGCTACACGGGAAGCACAAATAGAAGGGTAACAGCCCAGGCTAGCCCAAGCACAAATACAAGATCCTATCTAGATCCTACCTCAAAAACAAATACAAGATCCTATCTAGATCCTACCTCAAAAATAAACAAATCAAAAAGGACTGTGCAGTCCTCTGGATGTGGTCCAACGGTAGATTGCCTCCCTAGCAAGCACAAAGCCCTGTACAACAACATAAGTAAATACATACATATATAAATAACTTGATGTATTACATTTCATAAGCAACAGTCTTAGAAAATACGCAGTAGGTTGTTAAGCTCATTGCAAGCAATATAACAAATGGTGTCTGCCTAACTCATGCATTTTAATTATCTCCTGATTTAATACTAAAGATACTGAAAACATTTTTCACAAACAAATTTGGTTAAGGCCTAATTTTTATGAAAACTCCCAATCTAGCACAAAATTCTCAAAGCACAAGTTGCTATCTCCCTTCTCTATCAGGCTTCACCCATTATATTTTCATGGATTCATTTATATATTTAAATAAGACCATGAAGGCATATATGCACCCGAAGCTGCAGTCCATAAATGTTACCAAATTATAGGGGTTAAATAACCCATTGACAGAATTTTGAAAGACCCCAAACTCACAATAAATCTTATTTTTAAGTATCAGTAACACAGGTGACATTATGATCATCTAACTATTTTCTTTAAATTTGGTAAATCACTACCAATTGCTTCACTTCATCTTATTCTAAAAACAGAAACAACTATGTATGTTATTGGATAGTTACCACACATTTATATAGTACATGATTATTCAATATAATTTAAAAATATTTTAATTTTTGCTATGGTGAATACTTACAGGAACATTTCTGTACATTCCAACATCAAATAAATCTATCAGATTTAGGGATACACATATGCTAGGTGACATGAAAAAATAATTAAACCTAACCTTAACACATAATGTTTAAGGAGTAAAAGCAGACACATGAAGAACTGAGAAAATAATTTATGTAGAAAGGTCCTTTGATCACTAGCTACATTTGAAGCAAATTTAAGTTTTTATGACTCCACTGATATCCTCCAGTTTTTGCATCTTTTTTGTAATACAGGACTCAAAAGGCTTGGATACTTGTCTGTGTGAAAAGACAGGATTTATAAAGATATGGAGCTTAAAATTCAGAATGTCAGATTAACATTGGACAGAAGAGTGCTAGAGAAAAGTGACTAGCATCATGCCAGAGGCTAACAGCAGATGTCATTACAATTCAAAGGATGAAAAAAAAAATCTTAAAGGCAGCAGATGAACATTGCAATATTAAGATACTGACAAAAAAGTTAAGTCTGAGAGTTATATGAAAATGTATCCATTCCACATTCTTTTTAAAAGAGAGATTAAATAAAGCATATAAAATAATATTCTGCAACAATGCTGCCATTTAATGCATCTTGTAGAATAACAGGTATAGAAAAGGAATATTTTCAACAAGACACTTAAATGTATACCCAGATCAAAGGGCTTCAAAATCTAGGTCAGGATTGCTGACAAAATCACTTTTGAGTAATATGAGATAAAAGACTGAAACAGAAAGGAAAACACCTGCCTTATCAAATTCGAGAGGCATTAAGTCCATTCTAGGTCAAGACAAATTCAGAAAAAAAAAAGGTACTCAGGCTTTGTTATACATTCTTGGAGGAATTCCTGGGCACTTGATTATCTATACCTGAGAAGCAGTTAAGGTGCATGCATATATATATATATAGATAGATAGATGATATCTATATATCAATCCTCCAAAACAGATCAGTTCTCCTGAACCTTGGTGTTTCCCTGAAACACCAAGGATCTCCAGGGGTGAGGCCCTGGGAATGTAAAGCTTAAAAGCTTTCGCAGGCGAAGCTCATAGAGTCAGCTATGTACTATGCCGTGATTCTGTGCTGGGAAGTAGCACCCCAAACAAGTTCACTCCTTCGCTCTTTTTGGATTAAAGAAATAAGGTTCAAACTCAAAGATGTTTGGACAGAAGTCTCAGAAAAAGAAACAATGCTGTGAATGGAAGAACTTTGAGAATTAAAGAATTACTGTCCTCTGCAAGATAAGAAAGAGTTCATAGAGAAGATGTAGTCCAGTGCCTTAAAATGACAGTGAACAAACAGCGCTGCTGGAGGCTGGCCAGGAAAGTCTCACACACTTTTATATATTGCCAGCAACAAGGGGCTCACCAAGACATTTAACTGCTGAACTATCAATATTTTGATTAACCTCCTAGAAAGGTAGCCTTCTAACTCTCAGTCTTCAGATAAACCCCAAATGTATAAATCATGTTTGGGGTAAACAATGTTATATGTTTGTTTCAGCTATAAATGGGTCTGTCCCTCAACCTTGTAGTAACTGATATTGTTACTATAAACATTATTGGGTTTCTTATTGTTTGAAAGGCTTCATTCAGACTGTGTGATTCTAGCTTTCTCTCTCTCTGCAGCCTGCTTGACAGTTTTCAGCACATTCTGGTCCAAACCACATAGCATTGAGATCTTCTTTATTGGGTTACAGTCCTTATTCCACACGTCAGAATTTCTTGTTCTCTTTATTAGGCTTATGTGAGGTAACTGGTCTTCAACATCAAAGTCTATATTTCACCTAATCAGAACTTGCTAAATTATGTAAGATAGTTAGAGATCATTTTTTAGTCATCTTTGCTTACTTAATTTAACCTGACACAGTTTGTTAAAGTAAATCTATTAATTTAACAAGTAAATATAATAAAAACAAATGAGAAAAGAATACTGTCGAGGGGAAGGTTGAGGTAAAAGACAAAGAAGAAGGGAGAAAACAACTGACATATATTGAAAGATGCCATTTAGTGAGGTCATCTATCTAGCTCAGAGTTAGAGAATGGTGACCACTGGGCAAATTTGTCTAGAGATGTGTTTTGGTAGGTCACATAGTATTAAAACTTTTTTCGTCACCTCTGAAAAAATTCATATAACAAAACCAGAAACTCCTCACACAGATTTTTGTTTTGTTTTCATCCAAGAAACTGAAACTTCGAGTCACTTTGTGCCAGCATTCCCATGCAGAAACCATTAGCTGGAGCTTTGCTGGGGATCCTGCTGGGGATCCTGCTGACCTCCCCAAGCTATGTGTCCTCAAGTTCACAACAGACACTTGAGTCACCTAACCCAAGCATTTGCCTTTAAGGGTATAAAACCTGCTGACCTCCCCAAGCTATCACTTTCCAGAGCCTTAAATAAACATGAGTTTTTAACCTGATCTTTTCCAATTTCTTCTCCCTAAAAGAACTGGTATCCTGACGTAAATGACCAAATTAGAATACTTACACACTTCAGGACTTCTAAATCCTGAATGATTCCTTTCCCATACCAGCCATCACCGCGAATGGCATTGGGAGTTAAGAGTCAAGGAAAACAAATGTTGAAGAGGTCAATGCCAGAGACAATTCCCATTTCTTGTTTCTGCTGACCCTTCCTGATCATTAGTATGGATGATGGTAAACCCTGTACAGCCGCTGCCCTCCACCGGCATCTGAGTATCACCCCAAGTCTTTGTTTCCACTGCCCGGAACAGGACTCACTCTGGTTAGTCAATCTAGGATTATTCCCATGAGGCTCTGACAGGCTGAAGGCTTTCCATTAAAACCCTGACCTTTCTGGAAGTGGCTTCCACTTCACTTTCCACCATTAACATTTTAGATATTAGAGTCTGAGTTGAAATTAAAAACGCTTTCTACAAAAGTTAAATTATATGATATATAACTTTTTTTTTACCAACTGTCTTTTTAATCAGTTTCACTAGAAATTAAAATGTATTCTTTCTTCTTAATTGACTTAAGCTCTAGAATCTATAAAATAACCAACATAGGATTAGGATTATAAAAACACTGGATTAACTATCCAAGGAGGTGCTTTTTGTTTGTTTGTTCACTGGCATTTAAACTCTCAGGGCTTTATGCTTCTTAGACAGGTGTTCTACTGTTTAAGCCAGCCTCCTATCTGTTTTTTGAGACAGGGCTTTGCCACGTAACTGAGACTGGCCTTAAACTCAAGATCCCCCTGCCTCAGCCTCTAGAGTGCTGACATTACAGCATGATGGACTTTATCTAAGGAGTTTTAAATGGGAATCAACAAACTATTTAAGTTCTATGTGAAAGATTTATAGATCTGACATGAAATTTTTATTGCCATAGTTAATGGAAATTTTGTACATTAGTGTCAATATAGAGAAAAAAATATGTAAACCAGAAACATTTTTGGGAGAAGCAAAAGACAGTAGCTGCCAACATTCAGACAATGATGTTCCAATGCAGTTTTAGCTCTTAAAACTAAGCCATCTTATCAGTAGTTGATTTAAACCCTAAGTCTCAGGAACTGGTATAAATCTTGACATCTTAAGTGGATATTATTTTTTTTCCAAAAGATTCTAAATACTGGAAGAATAAATTAGCTCTTTCCATTCCATTCAACCAATTAGTATTTTATTTATAGAATGTCTACACAGGCAAGGAGGACACCTGAAAATGAAGTGGATCATTTCGGGACTCTAGTAGGGAGAATGAAACATGCACATGAGAATGAGGCAATAAGCAGAAACTGCAACACAGCTCATTCACCTATGAATTTGTGTATCCATTCACATAACAAATATTGGGTCCTTCCTCTGATACGAGAGTGGGGAATTTATGGTCCAAAGGAGGAGAAAAGACAGTCATCAAATAATGCATGAATGAGAAATTCATGGTTCAGAGGGAGCATAGGGAACATGAAGTGGTCACGAGGCCATTGATTAGTGAGCGCAGATCTGAACTAGTACTAAGAATTCCCTAAGTAGAGAGGACCAAAGGGCATGTGTAAAGGTACCTTGGGGGAAGAGGTCATGGGAAGAACATGGAACTAAAAGAAAACCAATGAGCTAAAGCAGAAATGGTGAGAAGTATGCAAGATGCTTAGGGGAAATAAAATATGCATAAGATGATGAGGCAATAAGCAGAACTTGCAAAACAGTGGCATGATGGTTGTTCTTCCTATGAAGTGGCAGATATGGAAGAAAGAAGAGTACAGGGTGGATGGGCATAGGCAGATCCAGGAAATACATGATGCCAGCTTAGATCAGAGTGACTTACAGATCTGAAATACTTAGGTGAAGAGACAGGCACTGGAGATTACTGGTGTGTGGACAGGGGTGGTGAGGGAGAAATACCTTTCGGGGATGACTCCCAGGTGTCTGGCTTGGGACTGGATGGGAAGGTGACTCATGTCAATGAGTGAGGGAACACAAGAGTGAGATGCTGAGTGAGAGCTGTTTTCAATTTTTATTTTTAATGGAAGTACAAAGATTGGTGAAAACCTAATAGAGAAGATCTCCTAGGGATGTCCTGGCTATGACAGTGGTAAAAAGGTAGAGAGAGAGGATGGACTGTCAAACCCTGATAAGGGTGAAGGGCTCAGTGCCAGAGACACTTGGGAGAGAATGCCTTAGATGAAAGACTGGTATCACCTATATTGTAACAAGGTAAGAGAGGGAGAAGATAGTTCCAGAACAGAGAGCTAGCTCTCTGCAATGGCCATTCTCCACATAAAGTGAAAGGTGACTAGAAAACAGTCAGTGCAGAAGAGGAAAATGGCCATGTCTAGGGTCCTCTGAGGTGAGCAAGCAGCATGTTATGGAGAACTCTGAGGATCACACTGCTGGCACCTGAAACTACTGCCAAGTCACTCAGGTCCAGTCCAGCTTTTGCCAGACAGTTTAACCTCTAAGACTGTTATTCCTCTAAGAATAAAAACTGACTATGATCAGAGGAATAAAAACTAATTAAGGAAGAAAGACAAATAAATCCATTTTCAATTGATATAGCTTAGACTAAGGTGAGACCAGTAAGGTTTTAAGTAAATTCTACAATTTCCTAAGTAAATGACTAAGCATTACTCTGGAATTCTTATTTAGCTCAATTTAAAGATTTTTTTTCAAAATAATTTCACCCAAACCGCTTCCTTGACATTTATCTGTACAAAAAGCAATTAAAAAAATGACCTAAGTGCAGATCTTATACAATATTTATAACTGAAGTTTTTCTGCAAATGTAGGTTAAATCTATTATAAGTACACAGCAATATTAGAGATTATAAAAAATTATTTGAGTAGAAACTTCTTTCAAATTTTGGTTGACAAAGAACAAGCAACAGCAAAACATGCTGGTTATTTTTTCCCTACCGCATTCATGCCACTTCTTTTTTCTAGTAGTATTCGAAATAGATTAGCTGTAATCTTGTTATCATAGACACCTTGCCCAAGACCCCGATTGTCATCTTGCATGAGTCTTCGATCCATGAAAACTTCAATTTGACCTAACAAACAAACAAACAACAAAAAGTGGCCAGGATTATTTAATACGGATATTTAGAGAAGATAATTTACAGAGAAGGCATGGTGTTACTATAAATTTCCCCTGTAGTTAAGGATTTGGATCTAGGTGCCATGGGCTTTCTCCTAATAATAGCTCAAAGCAGCTACAATAAATTTACAAAACTGAACAGCATTTCTGCTTTTCTTTTCGTTCTTTTTTTTTTTAGGTATTTTGGAGAAGTGTTTCCTTCTTCAAAACATTTTTGGCAGTAAATGCGTAACTGTATTCTGCTTAGCTTTTTAATAAAAGCATTGATTACATAGTAGATATCTTCTTGATTTAAGAACTGAAAGTTCTCAGAGAAGGGATCAGGAACAACTCATTGAGAGCAAATATGGTTAACATGAGGGCACAAAAACATCTACACAGATAAATGCTTAGTGTTGTTAATAAGTGTATATGTGTCTTAATCTAAAATAGACAAAATTTAATTACCATATAAAACTAATGAATTCATGGATATTAAACTATTTTAAATAAGAATCTTTATAGTAACATGCCATGATATAAGTCTGGCAAAAATTAAAAGAAATAAAAATAAATCTAAGGTCAATATTAGTTCACAAATAAAGAAAATGGAACATTTCCAAGTATTTATGTAAGTTAAAAGTATGACTAAGCTATAATTTAGAAATTCAGTTTCTAACTATATACACCCTCTTTTAGTTATATATACCCTCCTCAAAAAACAATTCTTTGCTAAAATTTTTTGTTATTTTTTCTTTATTCATAATTTTTCCTAATAGCTCAAATAATAGCTACAATAAACTTACAAAACAGAATAGCATTTCTTTTCTTCATTAATGTTTAATACTGAGGGAAAAGTTTGAAAATGGAACAGAACAGATAGCAACTTAAATGGAATTTTTTGTCAAAAAAATTAACTTAAAGAGTAAATTAAATTCTTCTCAACTTTTAATGCCAGCACTTAGAATAACAATGCTTGTGAGGTTTGTTCAGAAAGGCACACAGATGGAACAGTAAGACATATGCAGATATGGGGGATCTAAACAAGATTTGTGAATGTGAATGAAACTTAGTTTACTTGGTTAGATTACTTGGTATGTGGCAATTCTGAGGAACTCCTAGAATTTGCAGATACCATTTTGTGCTCTATTCTCTGATGTCAACACTGTAGAACCAGTCCTCTGGCTCAAAATGGTCAGATGTGGTTCCCTTTTTTTGCTAGGCAGTAGTTCCAAATTCCTCTAGTTTAAGGTATAAGCTACTGATTAGGTTTTGGGAGATTATAAAGTGAAAAAACTCAACCAGCACCATATGTTCTGGTTTAAGATTATATTCAAATAAAATTTAAAAAGTTAAAGTTACATATATATGTGTGTGTGTGTGTATATATATATATAAGAGAGAGAGAGAGAGAGAGAGATTTAAAACTACATGTATATATACATTTATACACATTTCTAAATTAATGAACATTTGGTATAAAAGGGAAAAGCTGAAAGATTTTAATAACTATTACTCTTATATAGTCAAATCAAGTCTTTACTTTCTTTCTTCTTGGTTTACCAGTAAAAGAGCAGAATACATAATTACCAGCGAACAGTAGAATTCTTATTGCTATTATCTCCACATTTTAGAAGACAATTGTGTAGGATTACGCCCCCAGAACAGGGACTAATTGTTCTCATGACAATCTAGAGCTTGCCACTTTACACCCAAATTAGTCTATCAATCCTTAGACAATTTCTAATTCTTCTGCCTCAAAATGTCAGTTCATATATTATGAGACACTTAGTGATTTCCTGAATGTGCTAAAACTGTTTTTATTCTAACACTATGAATATTTGGGTGCCTCTAGTAAGAGTAGAGGAGTGTGATTTCTCACTGCCTGAGTCTAGTGTGTAGTCCCCTATTTAGAGCACAACTCTGAGAATTCAAGGCCAGATTTAAAAATGGATGACTCACAAGTCATATAGCATAAAGATGCTTATGTTGTTACAAAGTGATTTTTTAGTTTTGTTTTAAAATATGCTAACATTTACAGGATAACGTCACCTAAAATTCTAGACTTCTGGATGCTTCTTCAAAAACTGAAAAAATTAGCAATACTGGATCCCTATCCTCATGGCAAAAATTAAAGGGCACTAAGTGTCCTCATGGCTGTCCCACTGCAAATGGGTAAATGCCCTCCAGTGTGTTCAGGCCCTCACCACTCTGCATTGATTCATGACATCAAGTCATTATTATTTTCATAAGTGAATTCAAGTCTTCATTGTATAAATTCACAGGATTTTATGTAATAAAGGCCACAAACAAAACTGTGAAATACTAATTTCTTTACGTATGGAAACACAGAATGAATGTACATGCCTAATGTAAAAAGTGGGCTCATGCCAAAGGATGTCAGGCATCTGCACTCATTATGTATGTTGCTCCTTCAGGTACCTATTTTTAGCAACTCTTAGTGGTAAAAAGAAGAACAATTAATCACATGTATGATAACCAATTAAAAAACTATGTATTAAAGAGGACCAAAGTCTCAATAGAAAATGTGACAAAAACTGAGCAGTGTTAACTCATTTTCTCTTTCTCTACATTGCTTTCTGTCTTTTGGAGTCCTTGAAGCTATACCTCTTTATTACCATATATGTATCACCTCTTCTCCATTTCTTTTTTCTTTTTGGAAGGTAGAAAGATGTTAATAATTTTCTGCCACTGTGATAAAATACCTGAGAAATACACTTAAAGGAGGAAAGATTTATTTTGGCTCACAATTTTAGTTCATGGTCACTTGGTTCTGCTGCTTTCAGGCTTACAGCAAGGTAGTGATATCATGGCAGAGGAAAGTTACTTGCATCATGACAGCCAGGAAACAGGGAGAGGAAGGAACCACTGACAAGGTATACTTGTCATGCTCCTAGTGACCTACTTCCTCCAACTAGGCCCTGCCACCTAGTTTCTACCATCTCACAATAATGCCAAATTATGAATGCACCAATGGATTAATCCATTCACTAGAGTTCCCATCACCCAACCACTGCTTAATAGCATCAGCAGCTAGGGATAAGGCCTTCAGCATATGAGCCTTTTGGGGGAGGACATGTCATATTCAAGCCACAACATCATGATTTAGAAAAGACCATTTTTGAATTACAACTTCAAACTTTTACAAACTTAGGCAAGTCATATAAATTTTGGAGTTTGAGTTTTCACATCCAGCAAAACATGATGACAATACAGGTCTCTGCAAACAATAGGCAATCAGGAGAAGCAAACCACTATTATGGCTTAGATATGAAATGACCTCCAAAGGTTTATGTGTTGGAGGCTTGGTAACCATCTCATGATGTTCTTGAGAGCTGACTGGATCTTAAGAATGCTAAATCCATAAACGGATTAATTCATTGCTGAGTTCATAACTGAATGGGCTATTAGGCCCCTATGTAAGTGGGGGCTACCATGTTGGAGGAAGTAGGTCACTGGGGGTGTGCCTTCAATGAATGTATCTTATCTCCACACCCTTCCCTCCCTCCCTCCCTCCCCTCCCTCTCTCTCTCTCTCCCCAACAACCATGAGGTAAGCAGCTTTGCTCTACCACACACTGACACGATGTTCTGCTTCATTATGGCCCAGAAACAACACAGCCAATTGACCATGCCCATGAAACCACCCGTAAGCTTTCTTTCCAGGTTATTTTGTCTCAGTGAAAACAAACGAACAGAAAAACTAACACAGTCACCATTAACAACAATTGTGACGTGGTATCTTATGTCCCCTTTCTTCACATGAAGACAGATGAAATTCATTTTATGGTGTTCTCATCAAACCCCAAATTAACAAATATACTGGTTCTTAAAAGACAGGTAGGTTTTAGCAGGAAAGGATAATGACTAGATTTGGCCACAGAAAAATTATATACTTACAGCTAAAAACTTTCATAGCAAAACAGAATTCAAACAACACATACCAGCAGTCAAACTTGAAACACCTAAAGACTGAGCGGAAAGCAGTGTCAGCCGACACTCAGCATCTTGGATATATGTCATTGTAGTCATAGGGTAGACATTTGCTTGAAGAGGCAGTTTCTCCATTGTCCTTCTAGGTTGGATCTATAAAACCAAGCAATGCTCTTTTTTTTTAATGTGATATTTACATATATGCTTTTTAAAATTAGGACTGAGTGTTTAGTATTGAGTTTTCTTTCAAAGAGAAAGCCACATTACTTCCTTTCTTGTTCAAGTAAAGAAATAATTTAAAAATTAAATTATTCCTTAAAACAGTATGAAGAAAATCATAAGGCTCTTACAAAGTAATTTTTAAGTGGGAATGGTACAACTTGTCCAGATTTTAAAAATAGGCACTTCTATTTAAATGCAGAATAAAAATGCCTAACAAAAGTCTTCTAGCTCTCCCATATTTGCATAAAACAAATTATAAAGGTATTAAGTATTCATTTCTCATCTAAATCTAACATACTGCTTTTGTAATGAACGCTAAGCATAATAGCTTTCCATTCCCTTTCAAGAAATATCTCTTATTATTCTTGAATCAGTTTTAATAAATACCAAAGATCTCCCCACTAAATCCTCTACCATATTACATTATAATCAAATGCATATTTATATTTAAAAACCTTTCAATGTTTACTCTTCTTGTTTAGTTTCAATTTTGATAGCCTCATATATGAATGCATGAAATAGAACTTTATCTTTTGAGAAAGACTGTCAGAACCTCAAAGCCAGTCCTGCGTCACAGTGAGTAACTAACGCTTTAGGAGCCTGTTATCAGTGAATCTTACTCATACCATGTAAAATTGCCATCTCCAGCTCATGAAAGTTGAATATGAACATCAACAAAGAAGAGGCACAAAGTCACTATAATAGTGCACACATACTGAGGGCCCATTAATGGAAGGCTGGTCTTGAACGATCTGCTTCACAATCTGGTTGGATTGGGTCCCCCCAAATTCATGTTCCCGTAACCTAAACATATGATCTTATTTTGAAATAGTCTATACGAAATACTCAATTTTCTCTGCAGAAATTGATGAAGCCCTAACTCTATGCATGGCATTCTTGTTAAGAAGGAAATCTGACACACAAGTAAACACACAGAGACACAGGGAGAATACCATGTGACCTCAGAGGAAGACACTGGAGTGATGCATCTAAAAACCAAGGTGACTCCTGACAAATACCAGAAGCCAGGAAGAAAGGAAAGATGGTGCTGTCCTTTGGAAGCGAATATGGTCCTGCCAACACCCTGACTTCAGGTGTTAGGCCTCAAGAACTGTAGAAGAATAAAGTCCTCTGGTTTTAAGCCATTTGGTTTGTAGTAATTTGTATGGTAGCTCTAGGAAATTAATGAGTAAAGAAAAAAACTATAAATTATTTTAAAAAGAAAAAGAAATGCTACACTGAGAGAATTCTCCATTTCTCCTTTCCAATCCTGACCTTCCCACCTCAATTAACTTGAATCACTGAACTTATAAAAAAAAGATGTTTAAACTGCCTCAACTCTGCTGCTGCCCCCCAACACCACCACCTATGGGCTAAATTTCTAGTTTTGCCCCAGTACTACAAACTCCAAAGCTTAAAAAGTAGCTTTAAAAGTATTTATAGAGTATAAACTTAAAAATATTTTCCTTTTTATTCAAATGTTTGATCCTTGAAAAGAAAATTCACATTTTTTTAGTGATTCATTTTTTTATTAAGTTTTCTCATTCATATACACACCCACACATACAAATAATGGCTTCTGTGAGATTTTAAGAAAAGCTTTTCTTTTGTATACAAGGAAAATGAACCACCATAATGTCATGGTTTCAGATGAAAACCAAACAGCTGAGGTAGAATTAACATGTTAACTGAGATGTACATTATAACTTCTGTGCTTTGGAAACAGTTTAGAATAACTTTTGGAGGAAATCATAGAAAACTACCACAACCCTTTCCACTTACGGCCAGCTGAAAATCATGCAAAGTAAAAAGCGTATGTTGTGAAATTCTTTCTTTCTTTCTTTTTTCTAGTTTATTGACTTTGGACTTCATTTGATTTTTATTTATTTTTCTTTCTTACATTCTTTTATCATTTTTACATTACTTACATATGTATACATTGTTTGTGCCACCTCCCCCCTCAACCCCGGTTCTTCCAGGCAGAACCTGTTCTGCCCTCTTCTTCGACTTTGTTGAAGAGAAAACACAGGAGATAAAAGAAAGACATAGTATTTTTGCTAGTTTGAGATAAAGATAGGTATACAAAGAAATTCCTAGCATTGCTTCTAGGCACTTGTGTACTGCAACCCACACTGGCTCATCTCTACCAGACCTCTTCACTACTTCCTGGTCTCCTTCCCATAGTGGTCTCTGCCAGTTTAAGATTACTTTATTTGCTTTTCTACAGTGAGCACATCAATCACATTCAAGTTTCTGGTTTCCTTCCCTTGCCCTATTTCTCCCATGTGTGTTCTCCCCTTAAGTGTTTGACCCATGTTCAATAATATTACTGCATTTGTTTTAGGTCTATAATCTGCATATGAGGGAGAACGTGATTCTTAGCCTGGCTAACTTTGTTCAAGATAATGTTCTCCAGTTCCATCCATTTACTTGTGAGTGACAAAATTCCATTCTTCCTTGTGGCTGAGTAAAACTCCATTGTGTATAATTACCATCGTGTGTAATTACCACATTTTTTTAATCCATTCGTCAGTAGTGGGGCATCTTGACTGTTTCCATAGCTTGGTACTGTGAATAGTGCTGCAATAAACATGTGTGTGCAGGTGCTTCTGGAGTAACCTGAGTTGCATTCCTTTGTGTATATATCCCTAAGGGTGGTATTGCTGCATCATAAGGAAAATCTATCTTTAGTTTTTTAAGAAGCGTCCATATTGTTGTTCAAAATGGTTGTACTAGCTTGCATTCCCACCAGCAGTCTATGAAGGCTCTTTTCTCCCCATATCCTTGCCAACATTTGTTGTTGGTGGTGTTCTTGATGCTGGCTATTCTAACAAGGGTGAGGTGGAATCTTAGTGTAGTTTTGATTTGGTGAAATTATTTCTATTCATAGCCAGGAATTCATAAAACACTAATTTATCAAAAACATGCTCATATTTTTAACATACCAAAGACAAGCTATATCACACCCACACATACAGAGATTAAGGTAAAAATCAAAATAGTTCCATTAAATTTTGTTAAAGAAAACTGACAATCCAAAAAAATTATATGAATATTTCTTAATATTTAAAATTATTTCATGAAAAATTTTAATAACTAAATGCCCATCTACATTTTTAAACATAATGCTTTTCTATGTATATGTATGTGTGTTTTTGTGTAAATGTACACACATACATACACATTGGTAAAGAGAGGGAAAGGGTTTTCATAAAAATTTTTAAAAACCCATTCTAAGACCATAAATTTAAAAATATATTAGGAATAAATGAAATACAAATAGACCAATTCCTTATAAGAAAAAGAAAACATATCAATTAAACAAACCATAATTGTTTCTTTTCTAGTAAATTCATAGAGAATCAAGGTATGCAATAATGATCACTAGCTCTCTCTTTGAAAAACATAAATCCTACAAACAAGTTGTTCTAAAAAACAGACTCTAAATATTTCTTCTAACTTTGGAATTCTTTGGATCAAACATAGAACCTACAAGTGTCTTAAAATTCAGTTTTATTTTAGAAATAATTTGGAACTTTAGGCAGGTTTTTCAAATGATTCAAAACTAACTGGCCTATTATCCTATATAAAAATTACACACTAATTCAACCAACACTTAAACATTTAAAAGAAAATTACCTGGTATCCGTTTAGGTCAGTATAAAATCTATTTTGGTTGTTTACTTTAGAAGAAATTCTCATTACAATCTCACGGTTATGTACCCTTCGAATGTCCACAATATTAGAAACTTCCACAGACTGTCCTTCTATTCCTAAATTGAAAAGAATGTGCACATTAATAAAAAAAAAATTACTGCCCTTTCTTAAATATAGTACTGAGAACTCCTTCTAAAGTGACATACAATCAATCCCTTGTTTTCTACTTCCTTATTCTTAACATATATCACATATAAAATGGTGTTACAATTTACCTTTTCTCTTTTTTACATTGGACTGTGGATAGCATTTATGCAGGGGCACATGAAATTCAACAAAAAGATGAGGAGGTTGGGACAAGATAAAGGTAGAGGACAAAACGTGTCACTGCTTCTCCAGTTAGTTCTGAGGAGGAGGACATTAAACGAGAAAAAGTCAGCCCACCTCTCACCTGTAGCACAATTCTCCAACAGAGACATTGTAATTTTTCTCCACTACCTACCCTCTTTACACACTAGAAATTACGAGCCAGTGAAAAGTACACTCTACTGGCTTGTTGACTGCTATTTCTAGGAAAAAAAAAAGACAGGAGATCTGATGACATGATTTATGGCTGAAGCTGATATTCACATATTGGTATTTGTGGACTACAATCGAGAGAGCTCCCCACAAGTTAAAACAATTTAAAATTGAGTGTATTGTCTCTTAGGAGCCCTAGTTATGGAGTGATCCATTCTGCCTCTTGCTATATAAAGCAGAGGACAGCTTGAAGAAGTCTCAGATGTATCGAACTTACATTATTTTTGGGTCTGAGTGTTTACTAGCATCATTTGTCCTTCTACCTTAACTGAATCATCAGGTCCTTAGTACAGACTTGGGTCAATTTCAGAGGTGAAGAGAGGTGTCATGAAAAAATCCAACACACTTAATCAGATGTGTATATGAGAGATATTGTAGGAGCTTCTAAAGAGAGCAGTTAGGAAAGAGGTCTTAAGAAAAGAAACCATCCTATCCTATTTCAAAATGCTGATGCTTGCTGAAATTCCAAGAATCCTGGAAACCTACCTATAGTTTTATTTCCATTACTCACCTCTCCCTTCTCCTCACACACAGTCACTCTGTGCTGATAACCAGCAAACTCTTTAAACAACAAGGGTTGTATAAGAACCGGTACAGGAAGAATAGAGTTAGGAAGACCTTTTTTTTTTCTAGGAGCCAAAAAGAATCCCCAGAGCTTATAGAAAGTGGCAAATATTTTTAAAAGTTTGAATCTCTGCAATTTATGGAAAAGACTATATATAGCTGGTCTAGGTACTATAAATTTCTGTGAAAAGTACACTGGAAATTATAAATACAAATAATAATATGGTGATGAATTACTAAATGGACTGCAGTCTCTATTAACAGATTCTATTAATTCTATTAATCTTCAGAATGCTCAAAGAACTTCTTTCTGGTATACACTGCTCTTCCAACTTAACCACCTCAACTGGAGCTAACTTTAGTTTCTCTCTATGTTCATAAAACTATTAGAGTACAATCACCTGGAATGGAAAAAGGAATGCCATATTTTTATGTCCACAATCTGAAATACTAATCTGCCAGTTAAATATACACATGTATTTCCGTCTGAGAGTTATCAGAAGAACCTGCAAAGGAGGATAACACAAATACCTCCAACACTATTAGGAACTTAAGAAAAAAAATCACATAAATCACAAAGTTCAACAGAATCTGCTTTGACCTAGGGGTGTGTAGTGTGTGTGTGTGTGTACACTTTGCTTTTAATATGCTTACATTAACCAGACTATTTTTAAAGCAAAAATGAAATCCACATAAAATTTTAATAGACAATGAATCTAAGACACCCAAAGCACAAAATGTAGGGGTTGGGATAGTAGCTCAGTGGTAAGAGTTCAATTCCCAGTCGTCCCCCCCAACAAAAACCCAAAACAAATTATATTACCCTGGTTCTCAGGTAGCACTATGAAACAAGCATAGATGATGACAAGTTAACTCTAATTTACTGAAAGCATTTATAGGATTTTTAGTAATGTTTTATGTTTTCTTCTTTCTAGATTGGATATTCTCTCATGAAATGAAATGAAGTCTTAACAAGAGAGAACATCATTAATTTCAATTCATGAATCTCCAGAAAACATTTATGAAGAACAAGCTTCAAGGAAAAATTAATAACTTCATATTACCTCGAGCAATGATAAATTATTTCCATTGAGAAACTCATTCTTCTCAAGCTCACTATTATGCTCACACCCTGTTGTGGTAACAAATACTTCAAGCCTTTTAACAGAAGCTATATGTCCATACCTAATTTGCTAAGACATTAATTTAACTTCTGAGCTAGGACAGACTTCTAAAATAATATGCCCATAACATACTCATCATGAACAAACCAAATAAAACCTGCAGCAATAACAAAAGGAGGAATCCCTGAGTTCTCATAGAGAATGTATTATTTTTTTCTTAAAGAACAGTATGTGTGTGAGAGACAGAAAACTGCCAACATTTCCCTTTCCATGTCAGGAATTCTTCAAAGTATGCATTCACCAAAGCAAGCTGCAGGACAGAAGGGAGAGCTCTCTGAGAAGCAGGACACAAACCGTGGTCTGCTGAATGTCTGCAGTATGTGGCAGGAAGGGGGTTACTGCTACCAAAGTGTTCTCTCTGGGACTGGTTCACCAGGGCTTTCTAAGACCTTCCAGGATTTCTGTAATCCTGGGAAAGAAAATGGCTCCTACAAGATTAGTCCCCCAAACACAGAAAGGAGTGTTTCTACCTAATACCTGCTAGAAAGAATGGAGGGTGTTTACCCTTATTAACACACGCAATGCAGGATTAAATAGACACATTTCACAGATGAAAATGTTTTTAAAAAAAAAAAGAGGCTGAGGAGAGTCTTCCTAAAGCTACCCCTGCACTAAACTTCTCCCATATGCTGTAATCTTCAGTCTCACCCCTGGAGCGGGGGTTGCTTTTTCTCCCTAGATTCTGTTAACTTCTCATAGACACAGTCTGTCCTACACACCATCTTTACAATGCAGTTCTTAACATTTTGAGCACATGGTAAGTGCTGAATCACTGTTAAACAGAAATAACTAAGATGTAAAGGCCAGTCCAGTCCATAGTGCAGAAGTTAGCAGACAACAGAGGAAGGCAAACTGGTCTACAGATAAAAGTTTTAAGTATCGGGAAACATGAAGGAAAAGGGGTTTTCATTATAGGCAGATGAATGCACATTAGAATGTAAGCGCCTCAAAGATAGGTACCATATCTCCCTGAGGCTTATGCTGTCAGCACAAAGAAGGTGTACCATAAATGCTAGCTGAATGAAGGGAGGCAGCAATGAGGGCATGACAGCACCAACCGTTACTGAGGTACCATGTACCTTATACTTACTGTATGTCTACAAATAACCCACTTAATACAAATCCTAAGCCGAGGTGGAAATCACTTGTGCCCAAGAACACAAGGCTGGTAGCGCCAGGGCTAAACCTATCAACTGTCAGGTCTCACTAGCAGACCAATGAATGGAGAAAGCTGAGTAACTCTGAGTAGGAAGATCTCCAGATTTGGGGTAAGGGGGATAGAGAGCAGAACAGAGGAGGGGGAGGAGGGGGATGAGACAAGTAGAGGGAGAAGGGGAGAGAGAGGGATTTGGAGATTGAAATGATATACCACAAAAACTACTTAATTGAGTAAAACAGAATTGAGACAAGATTTGCCTGCACCAAAACCTCTTTAACAATCCAAAATCCTATTTTTAAAATAGTACACATTAATAATTAAACAGACATGCTCTGTTACATAGAAGTCATTCCCTATTGTATCTAGCTGAGACGAGCATAGTTGTAAGCATAGGGAGCACACACCAGCATGTCCACTGCTTACTGTGGCTAAGAGTAAAAAATGGAGAAACATTCTAGATATCCATCAATAAGGAAATGAACAGATAAAATCAGGTATAACCATGCATGCAATGCTGTGTAGCAAATGAAAAGAATGGAAGTAGCTGTCTGTCTTGGAAGAGAGAAAGATCTGATGGAAAAAGCTAAATGTAGGGTAATAAAGTTTACCCTGAAAACAGACACAAAGACAATGGTCTACCTTTCCACAGGTATAGGGGTGTCTATGTGCATAATCTGCATTGTTTCTCCTGAGAAGTGCATGAGACAGATACCTTATGTTTGTATTGTGTGAAATTTTTGGCAAAAGAGTATGCATGCATGTTATTTGTATTTATAAAAATAATTTTAAGCATTTTAAAAAAGTATTTTCTTAGTCATCAGGGAGAAATGAAACCAAATAGGTCACACTTTGGAGGCTGGGCCATGCCACAGCTTCAAAAGCACAGCAACTCAGCTTTATTATCTTGGAGTCACTCTCAATATGATGATAGTCTCCCCAGAGCCTTCCCCCACAGGATGGATCAGGAAAGCAGGGAGAGAAAAGAAAGAGCATCACCCTCTTGACAGTTGCTTAGCACAGTCTAGAGACCCCAAATGGGTACTTCATAGAGCAGGGAGAGAAAGATGGAAGAACACCTATATCATGTCCCATGCCTGAAAGGTGGGGTAGAGGAACATCCAAGTAAAGACAGAATGCAGATGGAAAGCTGCAGCAAAAATGATGGCCTTTGGTGAAAATTGCACATCATTTCCTTTCCACTATTTACTCTCTTCCCCCAGTTAGAAGATCTTTGTACAATCTATCTAGAACAGCCTAATTCAACCCTGAACAATAGAATCTCCAAGTTAACCCAGCCCTTTCTACTTCTTTAGATCATTTCCTATTAACAATTTTGAAATGCAAAATATTATTTTCCAAGGAATATACTCTAACAAGACAGATAGCAATTCTACCATGCTAACAGGAAAGAGAGGAACAGCTTGGGAGAAACAGCAAAAGAATCTTACTCCTCAGTAAGAATCCAGTGTCCTATCAGTGGCTATTAGCATGTGATTAGGACAAGTCATTAGATTAAGATGGCCCATATCCATCTAGGAAAATGAAAAGCTACAGTAAGAACCTTAAAAGAGATATTTAAATCTTTAAACAAAAGTTTAACTGAAATCTAACATGGCTATCAAATCACAGA